TCAGGCTCCGGGGGCTCCCCAGTCCGGGGATTGCTCCGGAGCCATCGGACTCGGACTAAATACTAACAGTAGCTGGAAAGCCAGTCGTTACTCACCAGGCTTTGTGCCAGCCCGGCACACGGTGCCCTTCGCGCTCACAGCTGAGATGGGCACTTCCACTGTCCCTATTGTAGAGGCGGAAACAGACACAGAAATGAGGGCCCGCATCCCAGATAACAGCTCCAATGTGGCAGAGCCGGGATTCCCGCTCAGATGATTGGGGGGCGGGAGTGGGGGGGGTTGTTATTTACTAAACTTTCCTGCTGGAGGAAGGCACTAGCCAAGGCCACTTGGCTGTAGTCATATGCACCCCTCCGCCCCCTTCTCATGAAGCTCACATTCTAGTGGGAGAACGGACAGTGAACGCAATGCAGGGAAAGGTGAGAAAATCAGGCAGGATGCGGGGAGAGGGAGCCTCGGTAAAGGGCACAAGGTCAGGGAGGGCCTCGCTGAGCAGCCAACGTGATCAGTGACCTGAGCGTGGGGAGGGCGGGCACCTTGCCAACAACGAAGCTGTGAGACACAGCAGGTTGGAAGGCTGTAAGGGTGGCTGTGTTTGAGGCACAGCGAGGAAGCTGGTGTGACTAGAGCTAGGGGAGGAGACGAGGTTGCAGAAGGCACAGGTCTTACTAAAGCACAAAGCAGACCCCCCATCCCTCCCATGCTCAGAACCTGCCATGGCTCCCCAGTGTCTCAAAAGAGGGTTCATGTTCCTCACAGGCCTTAAATATAACTCAGCCCCTGCCTGCTCTCCAAACTTCAGCTCCTAGAGCAGCGGTTCTCAACCTGTGGGTCGCGACCCCTTTGGGGGTGGAACGACCCTTTCACAGGGGTCGCCTAAGACCACCGGAAAACACAGATATAATTACATATTGTTTCGTGATTAATCACTATGCTTTCATTAGGTTCAATTTGTAACTGAAATTGGGGGTCACCACAACACGAGGAACTGTATTAAAGGGTCGCGGCATTAGGAAGGTTGAGAACCACTAGAGTCAGTCAGAATCAACCAGTCGCACTTCCCCAGCAGTTCCCAGCTCCCTAGAGCTTCAAGTTCCCTTATCGAAAAGCCCTGGCCAGATGCTGACCTCTCCTTACCCTTCCAAATGGATGGCCCTCCACCACCCCCAAGACGTTGCCAAAGGGTTTCCACACCACAGGCGTTCGGATATACACGCTGTGGAAGCAAACCAGTCGGTCCTGGTGTTAAGTCCTGGCTGTGCTACCAAATACAATTAGCCCTCACATTTCCGAAGCCGTAGTTTCCTTATCTGGAGGGTGCGGACCATCATTGTTCCTCATATGACTGCGGTGAGAATTCAACACTGCTCTCAGGCGCCCAACATACCGCCTGACTTGGTGACTGGAAACCATGGCCATACTGTTATCACTCCGGCCTCCTCTCCTACCACAGCCCTTCTCCCTCACTCCCCTCCAGCCATACCAACCTCCTCTGTGCTCCTTCCACATGCTAGGCACACCCTCAGCTCTAGGCCTTTGCACGTCATTCCCAATCACAGCATCTATGAGCCATGACAGTTTCGCCTCTTCCTTTTCAATACTTCTCTTTTCCATGTCAGATTGCATTGGCTGAAGCCTCCAGTGCAGAATTAAATAGTGAAAGCAGGCATCCCCCATCGATTAGTGGAAAGCACTATAGTCTTTGGTCATGTTTGGCGTGTGCTGTAGGTTCCTTGTAGCTATCTTTTATACGATTATTTAAAATTTGCCTTCTATTCTTAGTTTCCTAGGTTTTTAAAAATCATGAATGGGTGTTGAATTTTATCAAACAATTAGAGGCCCAGTGTATGAAATTCATGCACTTGGTGTGCGTGTGTGGCCTGTGCCCTCTTGCAGACCAGGAGCCCTCAGGGGACGTCCAGGGGGAGCGGACCTAAGTCGTCAGTCGGACATCCTTAGCACTGCCGCGGAGGCGTGAGAGGTTCCTGCCTCGGCTGCTGTGCTCTCCAGCTGTGAGCCTGGCTTCTGGCTGAGCGGCGCTCCCCCTGTGGGGGTGCACTGACCACCAGGGGGCAGCTCCTGCGTTAAGCGTCTGCCCCCTGGTGGTCAGTGCATTTCATAGCGACCGGTCCTTCTGCTGTTCGGTTGATTTGCATATTAGCTTTTTATTATATAGGATTTCTCTGCACCTATTGAGGTGATCTTACAGAGCCCCTTTAACACACGGTCATGACGAGTTACAGTTTTTTCTATTTTTCTAACATCCGTCCAGTCTTACATCCCTGTCAGTTCATCCAGTTTAACCATGGTGTGTCTTCCTTTTGAGCAATTGCTGGATGCCCTTTTGCTTAGGATTTCAGCATCTCTTTTCTAAATGAGGTCAGCCTGGAATTACTTTCCTTCCTCCTG